TGATGAAGATACAGAGATATGATATTATCTTAGGAAAGCCTTGGTTATATCATGCAAATCCAACTATAGATTGGCAAACAAATACCTTGACTTTCATTTATGGTACCAAGAAAATTATAATTAAGGTCACAAAAACTTCTGGTGGAACAAGTTGTAATTCTGTTTATATCTCTAGACAACAATTTTCAAAGATTCCCAATTCTGAAGAAATTTTTGCTGTTTATGTTAATAATACAGAAGAATTAGAAGTAAAGAAGGATATTATACCAGAGGTAAACAAGATTTTGAAAGAGTTTGCTGATGTTTTTCCTACAACACTTCCATAGAAATTACCACCAAAACATGCCATAGATCACACTATAGATCTTGTTCCAGGAACAGAACCTCTAATCCACCCAATCTACAAGATGTCTTATACAGAATTAGATGAATTAAAAAAGCAATTGGTCGACTTATCAAAAAAAGGATATATTCAACCAAGTGTGTCAACTTTTGGAGCACCAGTCCTTTTTGTTCATAAAAAGGATGGAACACTTAGACTTTGTGTAGATTACAGAGCTCTTAACAAGATCACAATAAAGAATCGTTATCCTCTTCCAAGAATAGATGAATTAATGGATAGATTAGTAGGTGCACAATATTTTACTAAAATAGATTTATATTCAGGTTACCACCAAATACGAATCAAACCTGAGGATGTTCATAAAACTGCTTTTTGAACTAGATATGGTCATTATGAATTCCTTGTACTTCCCTTTGGTCTGACTAATGCTCCAGCAACATTCATGACTTTGATGAATGATATTTTTCGAGAATTTTTAGATCAATTTGTAGTATATTTGGATGATATTTTAATTTATAGCAAAACAAGGAAACATCTACAACACTTGCAACAAGTTTTACAAACTCTCAGAAAGCATCATTTATATGCCAAGCTTAGTAAATATGAAATCTTAAAACAAAAAGTTGAGTACTTGGGACATTATATTTCATCTGAAGGAATATCTGTTGATTCACAAAAAATTGCAGCATTCAAGGAATAGCCTATACCTACTAACATATAAGAGCTAAGTTCTTTTCTAGGACTTGCTAGTTACTATTGAAAATATGTTAAAGGATTTTCTACCATTGCTACACCATTGACTTTGTTGTTACATAAGGACCAACCATACAAATGGGATAATGCACAACAAGTAGCTTTTGATGAACTTAAGAGATTGTTAACATCTGCACCCATCTTAGCACTTCCAGATCCAACCAAACCATTTACTTTAACTAAGGTTGTGGACGAAACCTCCTTAGTAATTGCTGAAACCATTGCAAAACTATATTAAATCTTATCAAAAATCCTGTTGAAACTATGCCGAAATGGTGAAACCTCAAAATGCGAAACTCTGGCAAAACTCTAATAAACAATTAATGTGTAACCTGCCAAAACCCTACTGATTGATTTCTGGATGAGTTTTGGCAAGCAACCTTAATTGTAATAACCTTCGTGATCATTTTGCTTTCTTCTTTGAATTGTAATACAGACATATTTGTCATAAAAAAGATCAAGATGTGTAACTACATTAGAAGCTAAAACTACATTACATCTGTTATCCAAGAATAAATAAACATTAAACTATCTTACCTACTTTAAATATGAAAGCAGATCTAAGTTTTATATATATATTTGAAAATTCTGTCAAGTGAGTCGTCTTTATGGTACTAATGAAGTCTAAAGAACAAGGTTCGCTTTGGCTTATTGACTATTGTAATCAGCATAAAGCTGCCTTGTTGAAAAGAATCAACATTTTTAGTGTAAATTTTCATGTGTATTTTAGCCCACTATTGTGAGTTCGAGGAGCAGCTTTATTTTAAATAAAAGGTGCCAAAATATTTATTGAAACTTCAAGAAAATTTTTTATATATATCATTTTTTTAATCTATTAAGAAGTTTATGTGAAGAGTATCGAAGTTTACTTTTAAAATTTTACATTTACCTAAAGTAAAAAACCCTAGAAAAATAATAATTTTCAAAAAAAAAATCATGATTCAAAAAACTTCAACAGGACAAATTATTTTGGTTTTTATTGTTTTATTTTTTGTTATCGCTACTACAGAAGCCGGACCTTTGGAATATGGCTGTTGCCAGACTGCTTGTAATCTTGCATGGGTCAGTTGCTACGCGGCCTCTGGTCTTACGGCAGGTAAATACTTTATGCACAACTTTAATTTGTTCGTTTATTTATAAAATTATTGTTGATATAATTGTAGGGACATTAACCGGAGGTGCATCATTACCGGCGGCAGCTTTGGCATGTAATGTTTGTCAAGGAGTGTGCATGACTGTCTGCGCAGGCTGCTTTTTGGCACCAACCCCATGAAAAAAAAATTTTTTTTATTTTTTTTTTATAAATGAAATTTTTTATGGATATTTTTTTTATGAATATTTTTTTTATTGTATAAAATCACGTCGGTCAAAAGTTGACTGCATTGTGTTATCTATATTATTTATATATATACAATTTTTTTTTTTTTTAATTTCAAATCAATTACTTTTAATACTATTTTTTTAATCGTAAAATACATCCTTTTTCAAAACAGCGAGATAAAAAATTTAACAACGCGATATTGAATTTAAAGCGACCTTTGAATTGTTCAAGTTTATTCAGGGACCTTTTACTGTAAATTTTGAATGAAAATTGCTCTGAGTTGGTGAATTAAAAAAACTTTGTGTTCTGTCAATGCGGCAATACAGTTTCAGCTAAAAGTAATTATAATAATAATAATATGACCGAGTAGTTTACTTAAATACTGTATTTGTTTCATTGTTAGCTACATCATTCTTTTATTTTCAACTATCACGCCAATTTTAATCACAAAATTACATGTTAAATAACGTGATTTGGAATTAAAAAAAAATATTTAGAAGTTCTCAAGGGACTGGTGCCAACAACCAGAATGCGCATATAGACATGCATGTTCCTTGAATTGTATTGCATGCCAAAGCCACCAACGGCATTCCTACACCTGCTGTTACTGTCCCTACAATAATTACAATAATAATATATAAATGGATAAATAATATAAGTTGTGTATAAAGATTAGCTAAACTTACCGGCCGTGAGACCACCGACCCAGTAACAATTTACCCAGATTGTGTTACAACCGGTCTGACAAGTGGCATATGAAATAAGACCGGCATCGATATTGTTAATATTAATAATTAAAAAAAAAATGATAAAAATTAAAAAAATTTGTTTTTTTGAATTTTTTTGAATTATCATGTTTAAAAATGAATATTAGTTTTTTTTTTAATCAATCAATAATGGTATCAAACTGATTTAAAATTCATAGAATTCATTTACAGAAATAATAAAGATGAAATTTTTTTTAAAAAAATTCGAATCAGTTCAGTTGCATTAATAATAATAATAATAATGAGACAAGGATTACGTATTCGGACATTCGAAATATTACACTAATACTAATACTAATTTTTTATGCGTGTAACGTAATTTTAAAGTAAAAACTTTTATTATTCAATTAAAGTGGGAATGTGTCAATATGTAACACATACTATAACTTTTACAGATATATTTTTTAACATTTCTTTAACTTAATTCCAACTGCAATGAAATTAGAGTAGGCTCCAAAGTATAGAAAAATTACAAAATCAAGTAAAAATAAAGCAGAACTGGGAGTTGGGTGGACGAACTTGTTATCTTTTAAAACATTTTCAAGGTATAATAGTGAAAAATGCCAAATATGCACTTTGTAAAACTTTTAAAACAATAAATGAAACTACTAAAGGAAAAGCTGAAGGCGGATACAACAAGGTATTCATTCTATAATTATTGTTAAATTAATGGTTTGGCATAATATATTTACTTTGTATATCTATTTCTTATTATTAGATGAATAAATGATGAATAGTAGAAGGTAGTTGTTCTATAATTATTGTTAAACCAATAAATTTGTTAATATTTATTTCATAAATAATAGAAACAAGGTAGTTTGTATTATTTGCTTCCGATATCTGCTTGATAAAACGAAGCCTCTTCTCAATATTAAATTTTGTGTAATCTATTCTGGCCAATCAATTTTTCTTTTTTGTATAATCTGATCGACGAAAATCATTACCAATTATAAGTATCAATTAGTAAAGGGTTTGTACCACATGAACATGCAGATCAAATGTTTAATTAAATTTGTATAAAAGTGCATCGATTTATAATAAATGTTTTTAAAATATAGCTCTGTTACGTTGTAGAGAGGTGTTTTTGCGAGCTCAAAACATTTTTCGGAATTAAAAATTCTTATCTAGCAACAAAATAGCTACAGAAAAAATTAAAAACATTTTAACTCCTAGAAACCTTGTCCATAATGTAACCGAGCTGGTTTTTTGTTTATGATTTTTTTAAATTTTAGATTAATAAACATTTAGAATTTATGGCAAAAATTACATTTGCAATATGAAAATTTTTTAGAATTAAAAATTCTTGTCTGTATGAAGAGTTATAACAGTTTATGTAAAGCGATTTTCTTTAATTAAATAAATTGATCTTTACAATCGGAAACTTGAAACCTTTATAACTATGGAAGCAAAATAGCCACAAAAAAAATAAAAATAAAAATGTTTTTAATTTCTAGGAACCTTGTCTATAATGTAGCAATGCTGTTTTTTTTTTTGGTTTATTATGTTTTTAAAAATTTGTATGTATTGACAGTTATTTAGAATTTATGACAAAAATTGCATTTTCAGCATGAAATCATACCAATGTTTATGTTCACAAAGAAATGTTTCGCGAGCTCAAACATTTTTCAGAATTAAAATTTTTATCTGTACGATGAGTTAGAACAGTTTAACAGTTTATGCAAAGGCAATTTTCTTATTTTAACAATCAAAATCTTAAAATGTTTATAAATTTGGAAGCAAAATAGCTAGAAAAAAAAATTTAAAAATGTTTTTAATTAATAAGAACCTTATCTATAATGTAACAACGCTATTTTTTTGTTTATTATGATTTTGCATTAGTAGGCATTAGTGTTGGTCGCCAAAACTATTTTGAAGAGACGAAAGTCAAAATTAAAAGTTATATGTCAAAACTAAATGGGGTCTGTACTAGGAAAATCGAGCTTCCAGCTATTTTTTTTTTTTTGTCTTTTTACTCAACAATAATCTCTAATAAAGGATTTACAGTTGGTGAAAAATTGGACCCTGATTGCATAGTAGAAAAATGAGATACAAGGCTTGGAATATTTTCTTTATATATGGGACATGCTGCAACAAAACCAGACAAAGTGAACATTGGTATTACAAGTATTTCAGGGATTAAAATTTATTTTTTTCCTCTTTTAAATATTTTCTATTTACAATATTTGTTTATACTAAAATAGTATTCATAATAGTTTGGTACATAAACATTAAAAAAATTATAATTGATTAATTGTAATATAACCAGTTAGAAGAACTATTGTGGAAGAGTAGTCATAACCCAAAAGTAACTTATATTAGAATGAATTATATGTATAACTAAAATTATTTAACAATATAAAAAATTAATTTGACTTTGAGCCAATAATAGCAATCTTGATTAATTTTGGTGAAGGGATGGGAATTCTGGTATAAGTAGAACGTGATGAGCTAGATGATGTATCAGATGATGTATCAGATGCGATTACTTTCAATACCTTGTTAATATGATCCTTAAAATCATAAAGTGTTAAATGGTTTTATGACAATTTGTGCACTAAAGAAGTAAATAAAAATTATTATCTATCACTTACTTTAACATTATACAATGCTTCTAACACTGGTATTAAACATAAGAATTGTGCTTGTTCTGTTGGTGTCACTACATTTGCCATCAAGAACATTCTATATATTCCGTCATGGTTTATATCCATTTCATATATGCAGATACGTGCACCTATAAATGCAATCCAAAGCATATTAATAAATGCATTAAAAAGATATGCCAAATTTAACCACTCACCACAAATCCAAATACCAAAAGAAGTCAAGCCACTCCTGTTTCCATATTTTTTGATCAACTCATCTAAGGCACTTGATTGAAAATTGGAGAGTTTGACAAAATCTTTATTAACCAATAAAGATGATGAGTCTTTTGTCTTGACTTCACCAAAAAGGATCTCTTCTTTTGTATTGGCCACAATTTTAAAATCTGGCTTTTCGCCTCGAAGGTTTTCTTTGTTGCTAGAACTGTTAGACCGCTGATTTTTTGAAACAAGACTTTCACTGTTCGCCCTTTTTAAGCCAGACATTAATTATATGATTTAACACCAATAACTCAACAAATTACAAATAAAAAAACTCTTACCAGATTAACTCAAACATTGAATCACGGAAAATCTCTTTAAGTAAATCATGCAAAGTTTCATGAACAAAGGTATCCTCATTATTGGTATTCACGCATTTTGTTCTTAGCAATAAACTGTAAAAAATCATTTCATTAAGTGTCATGCTAATTATGATTTATAATTAAATGGTACAAAACTTACAAATTTCGAAAAATAATTTGAGCTTGACAAAATTTGTCTTTATCTTCCTGATCAGTCAACCCTGCAATCTTGGAAAAGTTATTGCACCACGTATCTTGAATAACATTTAATGGTGTAAACGAATTTAACATCTAGAGTTAAAAAGAAAAATATTTAATGTCCATTTCTTGTAATCTAGCTCCAAGTCTAAAAGAAGAATGTAAAAACTTACAGAAGAATATTCAAGAGCTATATTAGTTACCACTGGTGCCAAACTCGGTGGTAATTTTCTTTGATAGATTTGGTCCCAAATAGTTTGTGTGACTGTAAGAAACGATGGTTTTATGTGTTCTATGAGCATTATATTCGAAAGAGACCTATTTTAATGTAAGGATGATAATAAATACAATGATAAATATAGCCATAAAAAACTCTGATCTGGGTTGCAATACAATACTTACAGAATTTTTTGGATATCAGCTTTATAGCATAGGATTGGATTTTTTTTAATCTGTTCAATTGTCAATTTTTGAAATTTTCGGAACTCTGAAGAGAGATTATAAGTCTCATAGACCCACTAAAAAAAAATAGTCATGCCTAGTAAATAAATGCAATGAATGTAGCAAACTATATAGTGTATATATTTACATCATCTTTAGAGGTAGACCTAAAATCAATCTGATCAATAACGTTCTCCCATGAATAATGTATTCGGTATCGTTCTAACAAATTTATGGTTAGTACACATCAATGTATTGATTTTGCTTCCATCTGATAAATGACAATACCTTTTTTGGTTAATGACTCTTGAGCATTAAAATATTCAGAATCAACAACACCTATAATCACAAAAGCTATATTAATCTCTCAAAAATGTTGCAAACTAGGATGCTTTACTACCTTCATTAGAACTGAAATTAGAAGATAGACCTGACTGAGACAAAGATGAATTGTTATTTCCTTCCTTTGTTTTTAAATCGGTAACATTGTTATGATCGGACTCAACAAGACAAGGCTTTTTTGAATGTACATGGTTACTATTCCTAGGAATGATATAATGCAAATTAACTAGAGTGACAACAAGTGGCAGGCGATAACCACCACCACCACCATCCTTAAAACACTTACCCAGCAATCGCTGTACCAACATCTTTTTCTCTGGTTCTTTTATTATTATTTTTTTGGTTGGGCATGTTTTCTTTTTTAAAAATAAAAATGAAGTTTGTTGTTTGTTCGACACGTACACCAATTATTTATCCTATTGGTTTTTTTTTTGGTAGGACAGACGCGAATTGATTTTTTTTTCTTTTCTTGGAAAAACAATTTATTTTTTGACAACCCAAGGTGACAAAACGCGAGTGTTGTTTGGTTTGGTATGGTTTGGGTCCCCTAAAGAAAACGTGTTAATAATAGAGGTATTATTTTTTATGATATAATGTGGTGTCTTTTAAATATTTTAATTGGAAATCAAGATGCGGAGCAGATCTTGCTGGGTAATTACAAGATTTTCATTGATAATATTTTACTTTTCATAATCGTTAATAATAATATTATTATTATTATATTATTATATAATCAAATGTCAAGGCAGCACACTGTTGAAAAAGAAACAATTCAAATATGCAATGTTTGATTATCGGAAATCGGCAGGCGTTGAAGCACGCACGCTGCCTTGAACTTTACAGTCATTCTCTCATCTTCCTTGTGTCATGTACATAAGGCTAATCTGACCAAGATTCCCATGATGATACAATGATGCAACTGAATTCCAGGGGGGGCGACATGGCCCTGGAGTTTACCAAGGCTGCATCAATCGTCAATGACATTTTCACTAATCTTCTCAGACCAGAGAAGGTTGCTGGCATGCTAGCCAAAAAGTTGCCTCCAACGATTCCACCTCTAAGGATGGCACTGTGACCAAGCCACAACTCTGCTGATGAATTGTAGTGCCATGTAAACATCAAAGCAACGAGAATCTGCAACCCAAAGGAAATTTGCAATTCAGAGCAGGGTTTGTGGCCCTGAAATCACATTTGGGTTCTGATATTAAGAGGAAAGTTGTATATAATCATTTTCATATTTCTGTTTTTCTTTAATTTTTGTTGACCAACTGAATTTGTTTTTTGAATGGGGATAGGGTTGTTGGTGAGTAAGCATGCCACTAACAAAACAGCAACTCAGGACTCAAAACTCAGAATCCAGGAAAAAACCAAAACAAAAACCCAGGTTACAATTTCCAAGTTGGAAAATTTTGAACCAGACACCAACTTTATTCTAGTGTGGCAATAACACAATGCAATCATCCACACAAGTGTTGATCCTCATCAGCAATCAATGCCCATATAGTGACAGCTGGCCTGGTCTGAGGGGAGGATAGGGAAAGTTTTGTCCAAAGCCTTCCAACATGTTAAAGTCTGTTTCACCTGTGGGAGAAAATTCCATGGTGCTGAATTGTGCTTAATTGCACCGTCTTTCATGTTTGTGATAGGAAATTTTTATTAAATCTGACACCTGCAATCAACATCAGATTTATGAACCATAACTGATAATCAGGAAGAATAATTTATTATTGTGAAACCCAGAGATCTGGGTAGACAGGCATTATTAAGAGTTTCATTTTTGCATGGCCTTGGTATTGTTACTACTTGGGTGATGCAATTGTTTGTTATGTCAATGATGATATCAAATGTATTGAATAATAATCATGATGAATGCAGGGATAAAGGAATTCACACATGAGGAAAGTATTAAATAGCAATATCATGTTTGTTTATTTTATTTTTTATTTTAACCAAGATATATAATTAATTATATCAAAAGATAAAAAAATTGCCAGAGTGATTGCATGGAATTCAAGGCTGAAACAATCACACCATTACATGTCCCAAGGTCAATCAAGCAATTATTTGAATCCATTGGTGCACTCACTTTTGAAATCTTGTTGAAGGGAGATAGGTTTGTATGCAATTTAAATTTTTTTTATGTTAATTTAGAGTTCCATCTTTCTTTGCTCTTGTAGGTTGCATTTTACAAATCAAATTATTTACCTTAATGTAATAATCATTAATTTTTAAGTTTCAAAATTGATTATTTTGAAAAATATAATTTTTCTACAATTGTAAGAGTTACTTTTCAACAAGATAAGTTATAAGTATTTTCAAACAGGTACTATTGTAAAAATACAAGTTACCTTTATTTCTTAGAGGATAATCCTTTTTTATGTTAAAAATACATAATAATATATAAATAATAAAAATATAAATAAACTATAATTGATCTTATTATTATAATCTATTCAGAAGATATTTTGAACATAATAATAAATAATAATAATTGATTATCTCAAATAAATTAAGTGAATTTTATGTCTATAAAATATAAATCACTATATGTGATTTGTTACAGCAATAATAATATTTTCTGTTTATGATCAGCAATGTGTGGGAAAATTCATTGTTAAAGGTAGTTAATTTATTATTATTTCATTTATTGTTTGCCTTTTGCTTTTAAGATGACTTATTTTGACTTATTTTGATTATTAATGATGATAAGCCAATTTAAATCTAGGCCATAATTATTTTTCATGGGGAAGTTGACCAAATTTTCCAATTTCTCTTCACAGGTTACTGAACAATCATATTTTTTAAATCATTTACCTAAAACTATTCCATTGATTCATCTAAGTTTAATTCCATTCATATACTTTCCTTCAATTTTAAAACAATTATAAAAAACTACAAAGTGAACATAAAATTATATATATAGGGATAAGTGTATATGAAAAGTATTAACAAAGATAACAAATACAATGGTTCTAATGAATATCAAAAAGCAATTGATTTTTTAGAAAAAGGATGTAGTTGTGGTTGTTCTTCAAGAATTCCCAAGGAACAATTTGCAGAATTAAGGGAATCCTTTCAAGCTCTTTCCAAGTTTGAACAAGACATATTTCTAATGGCCCAACTTAAAGCAATGGATGGGGGATCAATAAGCACTAGTAGACGCCTTAAAAAGAAAACTAGATCTAATAAAAGAACTTTCTATCACTGAGATCACAATACACCTCTTTGTCAAGAAACTTATCTCAATATGTTAGGAATTGGTAGAACTTATTTTGAAAATATTAGAAATCATTTGATAAACAATGGTCTTTTACCAAGAATTCATGGTAATATTAAAAGAATGCCTCAATGGAAAACTAAGATGATGATTGATAAAAATGTTGCTGAAGTAGTAAAAAATTTTCTGGAAAATTATGCTGAAGTTCATGGATTACCAAGTCCAGGCAGAAGTATCAATAGAATAACTCAATCAATTGTATTCTTACCAGCTGAAATGAGTTATAAATCAATCCACAGGGATTTTCTAACTGGTCTAGAAGAAGATAGCAAATTGGAATCCTTAAAATATGATACATTCAGAAAATTATGACATCAATTGACACCAGAAATTCAAATTATGAGTCCAAGGACTGACTTGTGTGATACTTGTTAGCACTTTAGAGATGGTTTACACTATAATGCTCACCAAGAGGAAGAGGCTAAAGATTTACTCAAAAGATTTAAAGAACATCTATCTAAGGCAAGATTAGAAAGAAATTATTATAATAAAAACACCAAATTAGCAGAAGAACAAAGAAAATTAGTTGATCAACATTATTCAAAGGGTAAAACACAATATTGCAGTATTGATGCCACTGCTCATTATAGTTATGATTGAGCTCAAAATGTTCATGTGCCACATTTAGATCAACAAGTAAGTAAAATCTATTATCTTAGTCCATGTAAAGTTCATTTATTTGGTATTCAAAATGAAGCAGTAAGGGAACAAATTAATTATATTCTTAATGAAGATGAAATTATAGGAAAAGGTCCTAATGGCACACTTAGTCCGACTACAAAAGTGTTTTTATAGAGAAATAAAGAATATATTTATTTATTATGTGTGAAATTATTTTGTCACGCGTAATTAATTTCGTAATTACGTATTACGTTTTTGGCAAAAAAATTATCATCCCATGTATAAGTAATGGTAATAGAAAGAACTTCTAGGCGGACGGAACTATTTGTAAAAAATTAGTTTCATTCATAAGTAATTTCGTTACTCGTAATTAATTTCGTAATTACGTTTTTAAAGAGGGAAAGTGTTAATTAATTACGATAATTATGCATTACGTATTTACGGTAATTGGGCAATCACCATCCCATTAATTACAAAATCAGCATCAATAAAACATAATGAATAAATAACTCGCGCACACAAAAAAAGAACTGATGTTTAGAAGATAACTTTTCAATATTTCCTTATTAAGAAAGTCTGCTCGTCTGGTCCTAAAATTTAGACGTAGTTCAGAGGGACTGGTTCAAAGACTGGTCCTGAGACCGGTCTTTTAAAGACCAACACAAACCTATCTGAATTATTTTGCAAAATCTGATCTGCGAAATTTAGAAAAATTTTTTCGTTAACCAGTCTTGGTTGAGGAGGACTGCGAAAAAAAGATTGCTAGAAACGCATCAATTAAAATCATGACTGGTTATGGCATGTAATTCATGTATTTGGGTGACTGATACATGAGATTTGGAGAAAAATAAAATAAAAAAGGTAATCGGGTTTTCATGGATTACAAATTTTAATTATATGATGAACCACTATTTCATCTCTTCCCTCCCCTAACTCTACAAATTATAAAAAACGAAACTTGTACAAAAACCTGCGAAATTTATTTGCATTGCACAGAGAATCTCGATTAATCTTAACGAATCGAAGTTTCAGCCAGAACGGTCTAATAATAAAACCATAATATATCCTTCTTGACATAACAGATTTCTTGATATAACGGTTTTTGGAATTTACCGTGTAATAAAAATAAATTTAACCATTTTCCAAAGTGGAAATTTTTTGAGTAGGTAGCTTAAGCTTAGGAATAGTACAGCAGATATACAGCGTGTTAAGAGAAAAACGGCGGCAACGAAAAATTGCGTATCTCAACATAATTAAATAAATTTAGAAGTTTATCAAATTACTTTGTTTCTGTAAAGTTAATTCATATCTTTTTTAACTTTGCTAAATTTTTGCCTCTGAAATTTTAACATGAAATTTTTTAATAATAGCTCTGCCACACAAAAATATACATAATAATCATACAAAAAATTATAACTCCCAGATTTTCTAGAAGCTTGTCATTTGGAAATAAAAGAAATTTGATTATTTTGAAAAAATAATTCAACGCATAAACTTCTTTAGTAATTGTTCTAAAGCCTACATAGCAATATGCTTCAAAAATTTTATATGTTATAATCTAAGATCTGATTCTCTGGTATAATATTTATTATATAACTTTGGCTACTTTTTTATTGAAAACAATATTTTACAAACCACCGGTTTTTTTAACACACCATACTAGTACATATAGTCAATTTATTTAATCGCCAATCCGAAGAAAAATTCCTCAGAATGAGTGTTTGAATTTTACGATGGGAAATTTCATTTCATGTGCATTTTATGTAGTGCTTTTTTAAAAAAAATATTAAAAAAAAATATTGTATCTATAAAAATTAAAAATAAGCCTATAACTACCCTCTTCTTCATTTCTTTCTATCACAATATTTGCATCACCATTATCACTTTCATCATGATAATATCAATTTTGTATTTGGTGGAAAATTTAGACCAAACAGTGATTGTAGAACAGAAATTTATACAGAGCATCACATTCCTTTAATATTAAATGCGCTTGCTTTACACCACCAATAGCTTTATTTAATTCATAACTACTACAATATTTATATCTGGCTCTATTTTTTTTAAAAAATCATTAATTCCACCTAATTTGATAAAATGAGACTAAATATTTGATTTTGTCATTTCTTAAAAGCATTACCTTTATTATGATGATGATGATTTTAAATATGTCATTATCCAAATACATTTGTATTTTAAAGCACTTACTTAATCTTCATAAATCATATGATAGAATAATATAACCTTTGGGAAAAAAAAACTACCATGTTTTTTATAGATGCTAGTCGCAATTCTTGGTGATGGTTGCAACCATATTTGCGACCACTTTGGTTTCCTTTTTTGGATTGCAACTAATGTTTTTATATATGTCGATGATTTTAGATCAGCAAATTGCAAATTTAAATCCTTTTGTAATCGTTACTTTTCTTCATATATTTCAGTAAAGGTTGCTGAAATTATCCTTGAAATTGAGGATGACCTGAAAATTTTTCATCCATCATAAATATGAAGCAATATTTACAACTTTGTTAGAAAGATTTTTTGGACTTGTAAAGCAAGTCAACTACACACAAACAATCAAAGCTGCAATAATCATTCAAAAAGAAAATCAGGAATAATAATTATGTTTATGAAAGCATTGAATGTATTTATTACTGCAGATTACCACAAAGGTTCTTTAAATTATAGATATTATAGGCAATGACACATATATACATGATAAGAAAACAATAGAAAGAACACTTATACTAAACCTATGCCTGTGTATGTAACTTTCCCAGGATTAGCCAACTAAACTACAAGAGCATGTAGCCAACCGAGATCAAATCCACATAAAATATTTTTGTCAGTACTTGGCTGATAATATGTCTTAAATTAAAAAATGGGAACATCTTTGAAATTGAGATACAATTGCCTGTGTTGAACCTGTCTGTGTATGTAACTTTTCAAGATGGACTTAATATTCTATAAGAGCATGTACTGAGAATAAGGACAACTAGGAATTGCAGCCTGCAAAAAAAATGTTTTGTCAAAGTAGCACTTGGCAGGGTTATACTGGTCCATTGATGATGGTCTGTTGGATCCATTGGTGTGACAATTTAACCATATTTAATATTATTATGGACCAGACCAAATTCATTGGTCTCAAACCTGGTACTTGGTAATATGCCTTTAAATTAGAAATGCTAATCCAATAAAGCCGATTTTAAATCAGACATAATTAGCAATGTAGATAACATAGATTTTAATTTTGTATAATAGCAATATTCTTTATGATTTTATATTAGATAATTCAATTAGTTATTAAATGTGCACAAATTTTTGAAAAATTCTCATCCCTAATCAGTCGTTTTTTCCTGTTCTATTTTAGATGCTTGAACTTTTGCAACTAATTTTTTCATATATATTTTAACAAAATCTTTGATACGGTTTCTAACTTTATCAGTGAATTCATAAGAATTTTGTCCAGTTGATTTTGGAATTTTTGATTCCTTTTGAAAACAAAGTCCACCTAACTATATATACATTATAAAAATATGAGTTATTTTTGAAATTTTAATCTAAAAAAATATTTAAAAAATGTATGCAAAAAATTTACCTTGGTAACATGTTCCTCAAAAGTTCTATCATCAAGACCATTCTTAAATTCCAAACTACATTGGTAGACTGCAGCATTAATCTAAACAAGATATTATATTTTTTAAAAATTAATTTATAATAAAATTTGTAAAATTCAAGTATTTGTAAAAAGTGTATATGTCTCAAAATACTTACTTCACCTTGAAGCTTATCTTTTAATGTATCATCATTAATTTTAGGAGCAATAGTAGGGCCAGCAGCTGATTCTTGAGATGATTTTGGCGTGACAGGTTTTTTTGGAATTGCATATGGTTCATATCTCGCAGATGATGACAATGATGATTTAGACTTTAAGCTGCTACTGGATTTTTCTATTGTTAATGATGATGATGATGGTTGTGGTGATGATGGAAGTGGTGGCGGCGGCGGTGGTGGCGATGATGGAAGTGGTGGAAGTGGTGGTGGCGATGATGGAAGTGGTGGAAGTGGTGGTGGTGGTGGTGGCGGCGGTGGTGGTGGAAGAGGGACCTCAGGTCTAGTTTTAATATCTTTAATAATAGCTGGAGCTTTACCATTTTCAATCTTTGTGATACTTTGTATATCTTTTATTATAGTTGGTTGGGATGATTTTATAGGTGTATTTTGTTTTCTTTGCTTAGGATATGATTCATACTTTGCCGATGACAATGATGATGACAATGATGATTTTGATTTTAAACCGTTACTTGACTTTTCAACTGATTCTTTGTTTGTTAAAAAAGAAGAGGTTGATGGAGGTGGTGAAGATGGAAGTGGTGGAAGTGGTGGTGGCGGCGGCGGCGGTGGTGGTGGTGGAGGCGGCGGTAAAGGATGTCTCATTCTGACAGGTCCAACGTAAGCAGGTGCTTTGCCCTTATCTTCTTTTGCTATTCTTTGCGGATCATTTATTGTTGTTGTGGAAGTAGTATATGATTGTGATGGTTTATGAGGAGCATAATAATTTCTTGGTTTATAATAAGGCTCGAATCTGGGAGCATATTTAATGGTTGCAGTGTAAGGTGATGATACAGAAAAGGGTGATGGCACTGGTGGCAAAGGTGGTAATGGTATTGGTGTGGGTTTTCTAGGTGTAGTCTTTGGTTCAATTTCTGTCCATTTTTTTAGGAGCTATTATATTTCATTTAGTAAATAGTAAATAAATAACATATTTATTATTTATTGAGCAAATTAATGTTCAAAAATTACTTACATGTTGAAACAAATCATTGAATTGTACTATTTTAGGTGCTAATTTTATTAGTGTTTCTTTGATTTTTGAATCATTATAAAATTTTAAATATTTTCTGTCACAAGGCAATTTCTTGAGTATTTCCAATATCTAACATACAAATTAATTATGCCATAATTAAAAATATATACATATATATATATAATTTTACAAAAAAAAAAACGAACCAAAGAAGATACCTTTTTAATAGTGACAAGATTAGGAGGATCTCCTTTCAACAAATCTCTCAACACATCAAGTCCTAGTGCTTCAATAAAAAATCCGAGAATAATTATATCATTGGTAATCTAAGTGGTTTTTTGAATCAATAATATAAATTTATAAATAACTTCATACTAACAAACAAATATATTTATATATATATTTACCGATAATCTACCCAATACTTGTGGTGCCATATCAAACCGGTGTGTGCAACGAAACAAATCTATTCTGAAATTAATTACATCATCAGCATTTTCAATTGGTTTTCCGAGATTGTCGGAAAAGTTCTTATCAGTTGCAATTAATGGATCAGGCTTAGGATCAATGATTCCATGCCTTTAATTTTTTTAAAAACAAAAATTATTAATTATTATTAATTTAGAGCTTCCAATCATTAGAAAAAATCAATCAATCAATTTAATTATATTATATAATTTACCCGGTATAAGGAACTGTGTAATCCAAGAAAAGTTCCTCATTCTGTTCAATGTCTCTTTTTGCGTATAGTCCAGTCATTATTAATTCTCCCACCTGCCATTTCTGAACAACACAATTTGCCTCATTTGAATGACTAATATACTTGGACATTATACCGCCCAGTTGTTTTGTATCCTACGGTAGTTATATTTTTAATTAAATTTTTATAATGTATGTATATAGATACACATTAGTAGTAGTAGATATATTCACGCACCTGGATGGTTGTTTTGTCCTGAACAACATTCCACAAACCTTGTGTTAACCATTGATCTGTAATATCACTCAAATCTTCATAACTTGATGATGCTTCTGGAAACTCTGTTATGAATCGACCTCTATAAAAGTAATAGTAATCTATTAATACATAAGTATATATATATATATATATATGTATATATAAATATATCTATTTCTAACTTCTTTAAAGGCTCTAAAAGTCTTAATCCAAAACCTTTGTCATTTTTGAAAAATACTTCAAATTTACAATTTTGTGACTTCATCAGGAAACTTTTGAGCTAGACGATTCCCCCAAATTTTATTAATAGGGATCCTTCCTTTGCCACCCGCGAAGATCTGCTGAGAACCCCTGAAAAATATCCCCCGAAGAATTCCTTGATTTTCCTTCTATATATATTTATACGGAATTTTTTATTTTATTTCGATTAAAATGAACCACATTAAAAATCAATACGCAATGATACAAATTTGTCAAATTTATATTACTAATAGCAATAAAGTTTATTAATTATTATTATTATTATTATTATGAGTTCTCACTATTCTCATTGTCCTTTTTTTACATTACCATCTGATCTGATAGATTTGGTAATATTTGCAGTTATCATTTGTGAATTATTTATACAATCCTAATTATATAGTAATAATATATATACAATATATATTAACCAATAAAAATTTGCACAAATAGGTTTTCAGGATTGGAGAAAGTGCTCAATGAATAATTAATATTAAGTGAGAATATTAAAAAATAATTACTCAATATTTTTCATAACTGTTTCGAAGAGTATTATCACTATCAGATATTTTTGGATGTACAATTTCACAAACAGCTAAAGTAAATGTCATGTCTTTTTCTTTCCCTGCGCTTTTTTCATAATTGCATCAACATAAGGAAGGCTGTGATCTTCATCAATTTGGAATAAACATTTGAATGCTTTTTGTCTTACATAGGTAAAACTCGATAAGTCGGATTTGGCCTAACTCGGACAAAAATTTCCAGCCCTTTTTTTTTATATTTAAAAATTTCTTGATAAGTCGGACACATATATAAACTCTTGTTAAGCTGTAAGTCGGACAACTCCTCCAGCCAGATAATAATAAATGACTCTCGATAA